GGCGACTCATATTCATCCTGGAGTCAATCCTGACTCCAAGATCCCTCTCTGCCTCTGAGCTGCCGAGAGGGTCAGCCCCTAACCCATAACCATAATGCTGGTTCCCTCTCCCCAGGTGCAGCTCCCTGCACTTGTCCTTGTTGAACCACATCCTGTTTAGATCCACCCACTTCTCCAACCTATCCAGGTCTGCCTGGATGCGGTCCCTGCCTGCCGGTGTATTCACTTTACCCCACAGCTTGGGGTCATCAGTGAACTTGAACAGGGTGCTCTCCACACCCTCATCCAGGTCACTAATGAAGATGTTGAACAGCACCGGCCCAAGGACCGAGCCCTGGGGGGACTCCACTGCCCACACCATGGCTCAAGTCCACACCCAGAAATCTGGGAACACTAAATTAATTACTAGGGTGTCCCACAAACAAAAACATGTGTAACCAAAAGCAGTGTAACCAAAATAGAGATTTAATACAGAAAACAGGAAAAAACACCAACTGCATTTCTTCCCCTTTTTCTTTTTTGAGGTTTTAAGGGATTAATATTGGGTGTTTGCTGGGCAGGATTTAGGCCTGGCAGTTTAAGCAGGGTTGTAACCTGGGTGTTTCTAATCCTGCCAGTTTTGTGCCAGCTGTAACCACTAATAAACTTGGTTTCTTTGGAGTTTCCCTGCAGGTTTCATTTCAGCAGGCCACTTGTCTAGCCCAGAAGTGTGGGGTGTGTGCATGCTGTCTGGAGCCGCGGTTGCTCCCCACACACGTATACAGCCTCTCCATGGGAGCAAAGATTGCCATGCCACTATTCATCTGAGAGCACCGAGGGGCCCTTGCATCGCTGAAGGACCTGTGCTCTCAAGCAGCTTCCCCTGGTGCAGCACAACCTATCGAATATGTTTTGTAGTTAGTAGTGTTTCACATTGCATTTGGGGTTTTTTCCTGTTTTCTGTATTAAATCTCTATTTGGTTACACTGCTTTTGGTTATACGTGTTTTTGTTTATGTGGGACACCCTGGTAATTAATTTAGTGTTCCCAGATTTCTGGGTGGGGACTTGAGCCATGGGTATAACTTTATGAAGTAGCCCAAAATGTGAACCCGGCCCTTGTGTTGCTGACTGGTGCCTGGCAGAAGGGTTACACTAATAGAAGTGAAGGGACAGTTGCTGTAGGTTTGAGTCAGCTCCTCCCCGCTCCCCTCCCAAAAGTTTAAAGTTTAAGGATAAAAGATGTAAGTTTAGGTTCAGGGTTCTCAAATATTTTCTCATTTTAAAGGAAAAGCAGCTGAAGGAAAGAAAATAGAGCAATCAAATTAATCTGAGGGTATGAGTGCAAGGAAAAAGAGAGAGGTGGTTAAGATAACCCTAATGGTAAAAATGGGATTGTAGGAAAAATGGCCTTACACTAAAAAAGAAAAAAAAAAAAGCCTCATTTTCTTATGACTAATGAAAATAAAGTTTTTCATTGCCATGCCACTGTCATGGGTGACTTCAATTAGACAGACTGGGAGGAACCCAGGAGGCAGGCAGTTCCCTGATCATGGGTTTTGGGAGACAGCAAGTTTCAGATGGTTCAGTTCTTCTCTCTCACTGAGCCTCCTTCTTAGCTGCTGCAGGTCACAAGGGCTATATAATTCAAGGACTCCTGGGCAGTGACCCCTTGTGACCTCATTTACCTGGTCCAATGGAGGCCAGC